GGTTTCATGATCGTCCACCACGACTGGAATATTTTATTAGAATTCAGGAAAGCCGCACTTGGAGGGAGTAAGTTCGAAACGATCATAATTGGCAAGGGTACTCTTTTCGGGTCGGTTCATCACTAAGTGATCCCAGTGATGTTTATGATTATATTTAAACTGATTTTATATTTATTCGTTTACTTTTTTGTCACTGTTACATAGTCGTAGCTAGCAAAGGGGATTCCGTGTCTTAGTTACATGAACGAAGGACACCTAGGCTAACAGATCATTTTTTCGTTTCAGTTCGAACCTTCTGTTTCCAGCAAGCAATACGAACAAGTGCCATTGATCGAAATTCTCAATGGTCCGACAGAATTCGTAACTTTTCCTAAGCAGCAACATCAGATGGCTTCTACGAGCAACGTCCCCATTATACAGTCAACATCGCCTGCAACTTCTGGCCGCCATTTTAAGAAAAAGAATAAGTATGCTTTATTTCTACAGGTTGTTGCTGTTTCATCAGTTCTCTTTCCGACTTATATTGCCGAGAACGTTAAAAATGGCGACCTTGTTGCTTGTGTTTGGGCTCTTATTTGGAGGGAAAATCTACGTCCTTCGTGGATGAAGCAGAAGGTGCTCTGCGCGATATGTACAGAATCTGCCGTTCTGATGGGCGATTTCAATGCACATGTTATAACTGACAGTGAAAGTGGAAAGGCGTAATTGGCAAAGAAAGACCCTAGCGATCTAAGCAGTTACGGCATAAGGCTGTGTAAACGACGGACTTTTTGTTTGGAGCATCTAAACGTTCTCCCTCGTTTGATTTTTTCTGAATTTAACCTTTGTTTGAAGTAGGAAATATGAATAACTGTCATTTTTCTCGGATCACCCCAGAATGAAGGGGCAATTTCCTGTTTAGAAGTTTGATAAAGTTCCAGATTGTTTGATCCGATGCCAGAAAAAGATTGATGCTAAAGTACCTTTATTAACTTGTTGATAAATGCAGGAGCGTCAAGTTTATCAGGTACAGAATCGCAATTAACTTTCAGGCCATAGTATCGTGTTGAGTGCTTAAAACATTTTACTTTCTGTAAAGCATATCTGATCTCTACGGTTAATGGCCGTACCGCAAGTGGTACAGATGATTAATGGTATTTCCGTTCAGGGCTGTGGTCGAAGATCAGCTTAGATGATGCGATTGACTAAAAGGAAGTTATGAAAGCTGTGTTAACAACTAGTGCATAACATTCCTGCATGGATATAGCAATGAGTGAGAGGTGATATCTGGCAGCAATGAACACTGATCGTTTAAAAATTCTCTGTTCAGACTGATACATGGTTGAAAAGTTTAAGCAAATTTCTACGTTGAATTTTCCTGATGTTCAACCATCGAAGTTGCACGAAAGTCTTTACATTTTCTTCTTTCTTCGATACCATTCAGCAGTCATTCTCCGAACCTTCCGTAACGCTCGCTCATTAGTCGCCATCCAGCGCTCGGGTGACAGATGGCATGGTTAAAAAGATCTCATCATATTTTTTGGATGTTAATAAGTACTGTAGTCCTAATCCCTAGATCGGGCGTAAGTCATGTAATTTTTTCATACATAGCTATTTTTGGTTACAATAGTATGTAGGTTTCTTTTGCAGT